AAATGGAGAGGCATTAAGTGTCGGAGAAAAGCCTGGGCACCTCTGAGATTTAACATAAAAGAAGGGAGAATGGCTGCAGGCACAGAGATTTCCTGGAGGGAGGACAAAAGTGAGCCAGGTCTTGCAAGATGACTTCACTTGCAAGACGACTTCACTTGCAAGATGGGTTTAAAGTGACTGCTCACCTGGCGCTTTCTGCCCTTCTGGGTAAAGGTAATGAGGTTAATAAGATTAACGGCCATGTTAAAGGTTAACTGAAGAGCTGTTACACATATAAATAAATCTTCAAGGTAACCAGAAATAAGTTACCAATTTTTCAAACATGGTGTATGGGGGCAGATACACCAGGGTCTAGGGATCACCTTTAAGCCATCATGGCTCTGACTGAGATCTAGTCTGTCTCTTCCTTGACCCTCCACATTTGATTTTCCAAAGAAGACAGAAGAGCTGACAGCTGGCAGAGACAGGTGTCCTAATAAATGCAAGGATTTGCTACCTTTATTTCTCTGATTAATAGAGGACTGGGTAAGAACAATGTGGAGACACCTCTCATTTGACATCTAGCCCTTCATGTTCTCCTCTTTCCATGGATTCATTCTTTCCCAGGGTCAAGCTCAAGCACTGAGTCTCAGTGTTCCAAGTGATTTGAGAGCCTTCACTGCTGTTCTGAGAGATTTTGCTCTGTCAACAAAACCCCAGGCTCTTATTGTCAAAATCTACTTCACATACATCATATTCTTAACAACCAAATGCTGAACTTCCAACAGAGCTGTTTTGTGTCACTTAAAGCATTTGCCCTGTATATATTTGACATTCACTGTTGGTAAGAAGGACAGTCCCTTCCTTAGGCAGCAAGACAATCTTATGCTGTATCCAAGGTCAGTAACAAAAATGATAGGTCAGTTGCAAAGAATGTCATATGTGCATGAACATCTGTGTGTGTGTGTGTGTGTGTGTGTATTCATAACCAGGAGTGAATAATTACTTTTATAACTTTTATATATTAAAAAAAAAAACAGGACTGCATTTCTTTTGTGAAGACTACATTTCTGTAGAATGACCTAGAATAGCAGGATTCATTACTAAATATGAGTGGCAAATTTCAAGTAAGAAACCTACAGGGCTTGTTTAACCCCTGGGGATCTAATTTTGCTTTTGGATTCTGTCAAAGCTATTTACTGCTACTTTTTCAAAGTTTAGTTTTACATTTTCTATTAAATGCTTTACATTGCAAAATAACTTCCTAAATCAGCGACTGTTGTTATGAAAAACAAATTCTTCTGACTTAAAAAAAGGAGGAACAGAAAATTTGACTTTAGTAGGCAGCATAAATTATCCTCTGGTATATTTATCCAAAAGAGTTAAGACCAAAGAAAGAAACTGCTTGCTTATTAGAAATGCAAACATTACCTCAATCTTACAAATAGCCCTGAACTCGCCCAGCCACTGCCTCTGCAGACCACCCACCAGCACTGGCCTTACGTCATATGACATTATGGAACAATAGGGAGCTCTGTGTCATACTTGAATATATTGTTTTGAAAGAATAAACTGTCATTAACTTGAATAAAAGCTTTCTGAAATCAAACCTGGGGGGTACAGCTTTTACTGTGTGGCCCTTTTACCACTTTGAGAAATAGCCTCATCCTGAAAGCAGTAGAGGGGGAGAGAAGAGATTATAGAGTATAAAGGCGACAGTGATGAGGAGCCCTCATGGTAGCCCAGGAGGCAGAAGGCAGAACTTCAAATTACCAGGCAGAAACAATGTCAGGGCAGGAGGCCATGCAACAAATCCCATACTTAAAAATCCCAATGAGTCACACCCATCAGCCCTATTACAGCCCAGCGAATTTTGTAATGGTCTTTGCCAGAATTGGAAATTGAGTCTCACTCAATTTAAATAGTTATTCTGTTATTTAAATAGAATAGTTTAAATTATTCAACATTCTGGTGATGCCATCTTGAATGGGCTATGACTTACAGCCACGTGACTTTAGACAATGCCTTCAAATTCTGAGTCTCAGTGTTTTAATCAATAAAATGGAAGGAATAAGAGACGGGGGAGATTGGTTACTATTGTTATGTTATTAATTATCCTGTTATACTTACTATTTCCACCTGACTGTCCCCGTTGTCCACCTTCTCTGATCACTGTCCACCATGTTCCTTCTTCACATGTGAAAGAACATCAACTTCATCGCTCACTGACTTGTTCCCCGCATGTGCCACTTCTATTTTCCTGCCACTCTTATAACTCGATTTCCCCACCTTCCTGAGTCAACTCCCAAATTACCTCTTAGATGCAACCTGCTCCTCACCAGCTTTCCTCCCTCCCACACCTCTGCTCAATTTTCTCATCAATGGTCTTCTCATCCGGCCTCCCTGGTGGTGCAGCAGTTGAGCCCTGGGCTGCGAAGCTGCCCGCAGCCTCTGCAGCACCGGTTCGATCCCTGGCCACCAGGCGAGGGTCCCACATGGCGCAACAGACCTCTCCTGGCACACCCGCTGCTCCCCTCAGCAATGTATTTTGTCACTCTGCCTGTTCTGCTCCCCGCTCTGGCTCTGGTGAATTCTCTCACCCTCCCGTGCTTCTGACTGTACCCAGTGCTTGTATAAATAAATAAATAAATAAATCTTAAAAAAAAAAAAAAGGTCTTCTCATCAACAGGCAAGTTTCAAAGAGGGGAGAGAAACAAAACCGGGCAACACAGCTAGTTGATGGCCAAGACATCCAAGTAAAATAATGGCTCAAAGCTAGTTAAAATCCAGGCAGCAAAGCAACCAAGTCCAGCTGCAGTGCATGAAGGGCCCCATATTCATGACTCACTGAGGGTTCCCAAGGATGATTTTAAATCCGAGGCTAACTCCCCTTAACACCAAACTTTCTCCTAGAGGCTTCCTTTCCCTACTATCAATTTACTATCAATTTACTATTAACTGTTTCAAATGCCTAATAAAAGAAACACATATCCTGGAAACAGTTAGATGTATTTCAAAGTTCTGTGTGTGGTGGGAAAGGGAATCCTTTTGTTTTTGATTTTAGTATTTCCCTAGAGCCAGAGAGAAGTTGGTCTTTCCCCAGAACAGATGACTTCGGGCAGAGAAAGGACATAATTAACAGGAAGCGGGGGCAAAAAACTTGCAACCGTGCATAGCACTGCATGCAACTCCAACTCCAGATGTAGTACAGAATGCAAGCATTCACCTCTGAATTTCTCAAGATGAAGGCTGTGTCTTAATCTGATTGTGCAAGGGTATGTGGAGATGGAAATTCCCTTAACGTTGGTTTCTGTGAAAAATCACAGTATTTCGCAAAATAATGAAAGCTAAGAAAAGATGGTAACGGATGTCATGTGTTTTTTAATGCAAGCATTAGAAGAGTTTACCAAAGTCAAACACTGAGGCCTGTGGGAAAAGACCACAAGTTTTGATGTCCTCATCTGGATAGCAGGTGAATCGCTGGGAAGAATGAAATGATAAGTGGATCATCTACTAATCACCATTTGTTCTTGTTTTTTGTTCTTTAAGTAAATTGTGGGAGAGGGTAGCCAGTACAGGGTTTGACATCAGTGATGAGGTTCAAGTTCAGCCTCTCTATCTGCCAGCTGCCTGACCTTGAAAAAAACCATTCAAACAAGTTTAATGATGTAGGAATTAGAGAGGTGACTGTGTGTATGTGTGTGTATGTTTAGCTATGTAGATCTAAGAAGTTTTTTTTTTTAAAAGATTTATTTATTTATACAAGAACCAGGGTACAGGCCAGATGTGTGGGTGGGTGAGAGGATTCACCAGAGACAGAGTGGGCAACAGAACAGGCAGACTGACTGAAATACACTGCTGAGGGGAGCAGTGGGTGAGACAGGAGAGGTCTGCTGCGCCATGTGGGCATCTCCATGGCTGGTGGGGATAGAACCGGCACTGCAGAGGCTGCAGACAGCTTCACAGCGCTGTGCTCAACCGCCTGAGCCACCAGGGAGACCCAATCTAAGAAGTTTAGATTATACTGTATGAGGTTAAGTAAACCTGGGCTTATGTTCACTTTATTTCCTAATTTTTAGGAGAGGAATGAGAAACATTCCTACAACAGAAGAAATCCCATTCAATTAATAGAAAGTCATCTGCACTACTTAATAGAAATGTGAAAATAAGAAAATATTAATATGAAATTAATAAAAACAGAAGATATTAAATAAAGAATATGTATCATGGGGCCTCCACTGTGGTACAGGGGTTAAAGTCTCATCGCTATCAAGCAGTTGCCAGCCACTGCAGCAGGAGTTCGGTCTCCAGTTGGTAGGTGACCCACATGGTGCACCACACCTCTCCTGACTCACCCACTGATCCCCCCAGCAGTATATTTCAGTAGATCCGCCTGTTCTTCTCCCCACTCTGTCTCTGGTGAATCCTCTCGCACCTCTAGCCTACACCCCAGTTCTTATATGCATAAATAAAAACAAACCTTTAAAAATAAAAAGAATATACTTCATGTTAAAAGGTACTTATCTCAATATACACTAACCAGAAAGGCTGGTATATTGATGGTTTATATACACTCTCTCCTCTCGTACACACACTCTTCTCATACAAAACATTTGCCAGGATTAATTACATGTATAACAGCCTGTCACAGGGATTTTCTCTATAGATCTGAACTAGTGAACCCGTAGCCCAGACCAAAGATTAGAAGTCATATGTCAAGGGCATATACCTGGTAAGGGCCAACTCCGACATCAGTCAGTCATTCAGTCCCTACTTTATACTGGGCTGCATTCCAAGTGCTGAGGACTCAACAGCACACAAAAAGCAGAAAGTTCTGCCATAATGTAGAAACACAGACAGTAAACAAGTAAACTATACAATGGGTCAAAGTTCATTAAACGCTACGGAGAAAAACAGACAGAAAAAAGGGGTGCAATCCTAAATAGGGAAGTCAAGGAAGGCCTCACCAAGAAGATGCCATTTAAGTTCAGACCTAAAGGAGGCAGATAGCAATCCCTTACCTTTTAAAAGCGGCTGGAAGGTTGGAATCTCTTGCAACTTGATGACATCAGGATCGTTGCTGACATTGCGTGAAGCCTGGGAGCCCTGGGCTACAACCACAATATCATCCATCTTGGCTCTGTGCTTAGCTGGAGACGGGGCCACTGAAAACAAAGTTACAAAGCTCAGTTGGTGTCAGCCACACCTGCCTTATCACGGCTATTTTCAGTGTCTTCACTAAGAATATCTTTACACACAAAAAATGGTAATTGTAGTTATCCTGCAGTGGGGTGATGAATTATGGGCAACCTCTATTTTCTGTAATAATAAAAAACAAAACAAAAACAAACCTTCACACATTATGGGGAACCTGTAACATGTATGAAACTGCTTTTGTAATTAAAAAATATTTGATTATTCAGCACGCAGAGGTATGGAAGATTGTCTTTTTCTTTACTTCTTTGATCCTTTTAACATCTGTTTCTTACTGAGAAGGAAAATTTGGCTGTGACTCACCCAAGGTCAACAGAGCAAGAAACAGAGATAGGAAAGGAATTGTAGGTCTATGGATGGATGGTGTACATGACCCACTGCATCATCAGTTCCATCCCCCAGTCAGGGAGGTGACCCACAGGGTACAGCAGACCTCTCCTGACTCGCCTGTTGCTCCCCTCAGCAGTGTATTTCAGTTAATCTGCCTGTTCTGCTCCCCACTCTGTTTCTGGTTTATCCTGTCACCCCCCGCACTTCTGGCCTGTACCCCTGTTCTTGTATGCATGAATAATCTTTAAAAAAAAAAAAAAAAAGCATTTCACTCTCTAGTAGATCGTATTTGCAGGTTCATCCTAGTCAGGACTCAAAGGCTAATTCAGGCATGCCATAGAACTGCCCTCTCTCTGGGAGCTAGAGTCTCCTGTGGTTTGGAACACACTCTTTTAGAATCTGCTACTTTTTTGCTCTTCAAGAAATGTCTCTTCACCTACTTGAGTAATTTACCTAATATTTTACAGTTCCAGGCCAGAACTTTGGCCTAATACAAATTGATTCCTCGTTTCCTAGACCTCAGAGGAAAACAGACTTCACGCTAGATTCTGGCTAGCCTCTGTTAACTTGTCTATGAAATGGAGCTACGGTGAGACTAAATGTGAATGCATTCCCTTTGGTATAGTGGAATAGGCAAATTCTAACCCATACACTTCTTAGCTTGCTATAGTATGGGTTGGACTGGGTTACTGGGTGAGCAAGTATATTGCAAGGACGCCACACCACCCTCCCCAAAACATGCTTCTGGCCTGACATGGAAGCAAGAAAATATTAACAATTACTATTTTACTTGATATACACATATCCTGGGCCTCCAAAGACAGAAGAATCTAGCAAAGCAAGAGGATGCTGCTCACCATTAAAAGCTGCCCCAACCTAACCCCCAGAATGCAGATTTGAACTAGTCTTGAATTCAAGACACACTCCAGAGTGGAACACCCCTAGATCTCTCAGCTTCTACACTGCTGCATTACAGTCCCATCAGGAACACAGTTCTCCAACCCTGACTTGTTTCCAGTTCCTGATTTAACCGGTGTGGGTTAGCAACCTCAGAGTTTATCCAGAGTAAAGCCAGCAGTCCTAGGTTTTGGGGGTAACGAAAAAAAGTACAAGTGATTCTCCATGATGCTGTTTCATTTATTAAACGTTCACTATATTCTGGGCAAAATAATCCTCGCCATTCCTACCGCAGCACAGAGAGCAATCGTTAAAATATGCTCGGGGAGGAGAATAGAGTAAAAATACCAGAAATACAGTCCTGGATACCTTCTGAGGGGAGCGTGCAGTTTCTGGAGATGTTTGCAACCAAGGGTTCAAACAGACTATTCACTTGTCACATATCCCTTCTGATAAGACCCGCTTTTAAAGAAGAGGAACCTGTACTTAGAGGTCCTGCCTATGACCCACCACAGTGTGCCAAACCTCACTATCCCTGTTATGAGCACTAAGCCCAACACTGGAACAGGTCGTCTTATAAAAAGCAGGCTGCAGCCGGGATCAACAGCAATTTTGAAAATAAATGGGCATGCGCGCCCACGCTGGCTTAGCTCGCAGTCGCCGGCGCTGACTTCCATCACGGAAATCAAGGTTAGAACAGCTGGCAAGGGGGGTTGGATGGGTGTTCTTTTTTAAAGAAAAGAGCACGGTGAGGGCTTGTGCGTCCCGGACCGCCGGCCCCAGCCCCAGCCAGGCTGGGAGGCAGCCCGCGCCGCGAGCAGACCGGGCGGGCTGGAGGGAGGTGGAGGTTAGGGCACCGACCTGAGGAGTTCAGATCGTTGGGTCGGCTCTCGGCCTCCGAGCTCTGCTCACTACCCATGGTGCCGGCAGCGGTGGCGGCGGAGGAACGGCGGGACGGGCGGTCTCCCCGCTCAGGCGGCGGGCGGCAGGGCCGGGGCCGGGGGTCGGGAAGAGGGCGCTACATAGAGCGGGGTGCGGCTGCCGAGCCCAAGTGTGGGGGTGGCGCGCCAGCCCACGGGCGAGGGCGGCAGGGGCTGGGGAGGCCCTATTTGGGAAACACGCGCGCAAAGAGGCGCGGGCCCGGCTGCACGATCCCCGGGTGTCTTTCTTGCGGGAACCCCAAGAGAGGAGGCGGGGATCGCCGGCTTCAGTCGCGCCTGCAGCCAGAGGGCGGCGCCATCGGCACTCACTTGCTCATGCGCCCCAAGCTCGCTCCTTCCGGGACGCGGATTAGCGACGCGAGCGGAGCGTGGCCGTCAGTTCCGGGTTAGGGACCCAGCCCTCCAATCCCCTACCCCAGCCGGCGTGGGGGCGGAGCCACTGGGGCACGGGTGGCGCGGCCTTAAAGGGCCCGAGTGCTTCAAAGCCAGAATCGCTGCAAAGGATAAGCTTGCAATCTTTTTTTTTTTAATTTAATTATATATATTTTTACATCATTTTTCATTTTTGCACAATGTATGTATTTTCATCTTGGTTATATTCCCCATACAGTTCCCACCCCCTTATTTTGACCCTACTCCTTCCTCCCCTTCCACCCCCCAGTGTTTCTCTGATTTATAGTTGCTTGTTGATTTTGATTTTTACCTTATTATAATTAGTCTTTGGTCCCTTATTTGGGTTCTCTAGATTCCTGCTATGAGTGAGACCATCCGGTATTTTTCTTTTTCTTTCTGGCTTATTTCGATGAGCATGATCCCTTCCAGCGCCATCCATGTTGCTGCAAATTGCATGTGTTCATCTTTTTTGATTGCTGAGTAATATTCCATTGTGTATATGTACCACATCTTCTTGATCCAGTCATCAAATTTTGGGCATTTGGGTTGTTTTCATAGCTTAGCTATTGTAAATAGTGCTGCTATAAACATAGGGGTGCAGGTGCCCTTTTGAATTAATAGTTCTGTGTCCTTTGGGTAAATACCTAGGCGTGGAATTGCTGGTTCATATGGAAGCTCCATCTTTAGCAGGTTGAGGAATCTCTACCATTTGGAGTCCAGAGGGGGATCCAGCCACCGCAGGGGCTTGCAATCTTACCGATTGCAATGGTGCGTCACTTGTAAGTATCACGCACGTATTAATCACTATCTCCCTATCCTTAGAGGCTGATAAAATAGGGGTTTCTATGTTTGCGAAAGTAAGGGTTTCTATTGTTTGTGTGAACTTTTTTTTTAATTTTTAATTGAGATAACTCACATATAACAATGTACTAGTTTCATGTGTACAACCTAGTGATTCGATTTTTTTTTTTATATTGTGAAATTTTAAACCCTGTTTTACAATGGGGAGAGGTGCTACCTAGACCTAGGATTCGAATCCACTGCATACAAGCCTTCTGTTTCAGTTCCCAAAGGGGTGCTTGTGGCAGCAGGGACCATACAAAAATTACTAAAATGGTGAAGGAAGGCTGGAAACGAGAGAAAAATTAACCAGGAAATAATGACCCACCTGTTCAAAAGATACAGGGAGGCCCAGTCTCTATCCTTAGGAAACTCACGCAATAAAGTTAATTAGGCATTTTTAATATTAGGGGATCTGCTGATAGGGCTTAGCTGGGAGACATTTGGAGTTGATGCCTTCTACAGACCTAAATATCACTTTCACATAGACAGCCACTTATGTGGTCTGAGAAATGAACAGCCTTTGTTTAGTTTATGAAACACTTTTGTTATACTGACCCTGTATGAGCTCCCTATAAAGTAAATAGCATTTTCCTAATTTTACATAGAGGGGAAGGGTTTATTCTTGATCTCACAGCCAATAAATGATAAAAAAGTGAAAGGATGAAAGTTTTCTAAAAGGCTTTGTGCCTCTCATTCAAGACAGCTCTTCCTCCCATTCTTCATCGTGCCTGGCACCCCATCATCCTGTCTCCAAAACCAGAACCTGCTTACCCTTCCATCACATACACCAAGTCACCAAGTCAGAAGATGCCTCTTCTTTTTTCAGGCCTTCTCATTTCTTCCATTTCTTGGAAAATGGGAGGCTTCTGGCCTCACTCCTTCAATCTATTGCGAAAAAAAGACAAATGCCATTTTAAGATGGGGTCTGAGAAAACCACTTTGCTGGCTTCTTGAAATTGGGCCAGCTCTTGGTAGTGGGTCAAATGGTAATTATTTCATGAACAGCTGTCTGAGAAATCCTGAAAAGAGCTGATGATGGGGTGATCCCATACTCCCAAAATACAAACAATGATGTAAACCAACAAAGAAAGGAAGAAAGGAAAGAAAGAGAGAGAGAGAGAAAGAGAGAGAGAGAGAAAATGATTGTTGACTTTTTGCCAGAGGAGAGAATCAATAACTATACATAGCAAAGAGTAGTTTAAGCTTACCACTTATAACTCCTTTTTAAAAGTCAGTTATTTCCTTTTTCCCTCTGATGAACTCCCCAACTTTTTTCCATCCCTGGGGCATGTTTTACATTGCTACCTAAGTCTGTGTGCCCCATATTGCCTTGGTCCCTAATAAACATACTTTTACTTTTTATTTTTTTAATTTTTTAAAGATTTATTTATTTATGCATACAAGAGCTGGGGTACAGGCCAGAGGAGTGGGGGGGGGGGTGCGAGAGGATTCACCAGAGACAGAGTGGGGAACAGAACAGGCAGATTGACTGAAGTACACTGCTGAGGGGAGCAGCAGGGCGAGTCAGGAGAGGTCTTCTGCACCATGTGGGTTGCTCCCTGGCTGGCGGGGAATCGAACTTGTGCTACAGTGGCTGCGGATTGCTTCATAGGTTGCGTCTTAACACTTGTGCCACCAGGGAGTCCCCTTATACCTTTCCTTTTTAATGGCCTCCTGAATTTTAAAATTAACACCATCCTCCATGTGGCTGGCAGAGAGAACTTTCTAGAATATTTATTATCTAGACTTGTCACTGTCTACTAAAAACCTTCAATAATGCCCCAAGGTTTTAAGATAAAGTTTAAACATTAGTATACTATAGCCTTCTTGTTCTAACCCCAGCCTCTGTCTATTCCATTATATACACAGGCAAACTTTGTACTATTCAGGATGAAATCCTCTGAATAGTCGAGCTGTTTTCTCTGTCTGGAATATTCAACCTTTTCTTGCCATCTAGCCAACTGAACTTATCCTTCAAGATTTAATGTATGGTTGAAAATTTATATACACACAAAATCCTGCACACAGATGTTTATAGAAGCTTTAGTCATAATTGTCAAAACTTGGAAGCAACCAAAATGCCCTTCAGCAGGTGAGTGGGTAAACAAACTCTGGTACATCCAAACAATGAAATATTGTTCTGTGAAAAAAGAAATAAGCTACCAAGTCACAATGTGATAAGGAGGAAACTTAAAAGTGTATTCCAACAGTTCCTTATCCATGGAAGATATTTTCCAAGATTCCCAATGGATACCTGAAACAATGTGTGTGTATGTGTGTATCTGTGTGTATGGCCCATACAATATAAAATAGTAAGAGTGATGGACTTTACATAATTATGAGGTATTACTGTAGCTTCATCAGTTGCAATAAATGTGCCTCTCTGGTGAAGGGTGTTGATAACAGGGGCGGCTATGTAAGTGTGGGGCCAGGGACATAAAGGAAATGTCTTTCTTTTTTTTTTTTTAAAGATTTATTTATTTATGCATCCAAGAACTTTGGTATAGGCCAGAGGTGTGGCAGAGGTGAGAGGATTCACCAGAGACAGAGTGGGGAGCAGAACAGACAGATTGACTGAAATATACTGCTGAGGGGAGCAGCAGGCCAGACAGGAGAGGTCTGCGGCACCTTGGGAGTCACCTCCCTTGCTGGGGATCGAATTTAGGCTGAAGTGGCTGCCCACGGCTCCATTATGCTGAGCCTTAACCCCTGGAGCCACCAGGGAGGCCCCATAAAGGAAATTTCTGTACCTTCTTTTAAAGTTTGCTGTGAACCTAAAACTGCCCTAAAAGGACAGTCTTTTTTTTTAAAAAAAAAAAAAAAAAAAAGTGAACTTACATCCTCCCTAATTAGATGTCTCTCTCTGGGCTTCCTTAGTTAGCATCTTGTTTTATAACATTTATTTTACACAATCATCAATTGTCTGTCTCCCCTACTGAACTATAAGCTTCTTGAAGGAAGATCCTCTCTCTTACTGGTCTTTAATTTCCCCTGCAGGGATTTTAAACATGCTTTCTGAATAAAGTACTTAAAAAAAAAAACAACTGCCCCCACATTAATAGGATTCAAATATCAGAAGAGCATCAAGAATCTCTTCAGGTGAAGAATTTGACTTCTCATTTAAATGCTTAGTTCCTGTCAGTAAAAAAGTATCTTTTAGGGGCCTCCCTGGTGGCACAAAGGGCTAAGACGCAGCACTATGAATCTATTGGCAGCCACTCAGCCACTGCAGCACGAGTTCGTTCCCCTGGTCAGGGCGGTGACCCACAGGTCGCAGCAGACCTTTCCTGATTCACCCGCTACTCCCTTCAGCAGTGTGTTTCAATCTGCCTTTTCTTTTACCCCCTCTGTCTCTGATGAATCCTCCCACACACACACACCCATACCTCTGGCTTGTACCCCAGTGCTTGTATGCATAAATAAATAAAACTTTTTTTTTTAAGTGTCCTTTGGTCATTTTTTTTTTTTTTTTTGGTAAAGATTTATTTATTTATCTACACAAGCACTGGGTACAGTCAGAAGCGCGGGAGGGTGAGAGAATTCACCAGAGCCAGAGCGGGGAGCAGAACAGGCAGAAGCACCAAAGCACACTTCTTAGGGGAGCAGCGGGCATGGCAGGAGAGGTCTGTGGGACCCTCGCTGGCTTCCGGGGATGGAACCGGTGCTGCAGAGGCTGCGGGCAGCTTCGCAGCCCAGCGCTCAACCGCTGCGCCACCAGGGAGGCCCCCTTTGGTCATTATTTTCATCAATGTCCTCTGTTCACTGTCATAACTGAAAAAATAGTATTCTCACTTCCAGACTATTTGCCGCCAGCCAGCCAGTGGTAATGACCGAGTTACCCAGATCCCACATCAAGCCAGCATTGGAGCTCAGTAAGTGACCCATCTGTCTGCTTCGTAGGAAGGTTGGAAAAGATTCATTCTGGGCCTCCCTGGTGGTGCAAGGGGTTGGGTCTCGGCACTATCACACTATTGGCAGCCACTGCAGCATGAGTTCAATTCCCAGCCAGGCTGCTAACCCACATGGCGCAGCAGACCTCTCCTGCCTCGCCCATTGCTCCACTCAGCAGTGTGTTTCAGTACAGCTGCCTGTTTTGTTCCCCTCTCTGTCACTGGTGAATCCTCTCACCTTCCCCCTACCCATACCTCTGGCCTACAACCCAGCTCTTGTATGCATAAATAAAAATAAATAAATCTTTAAAAAAAAAAAAAAAGACATCCTCTGGGGGGGGATGGATGTCCTGAACAAACTGCACTAATAGGTTTTATGGACCCCACCCCCACCCCAGACCAAAGAGATCCAAGACACCAAGGACTACAGATCCCATCATGTCGTCACCACTGAAGGGAGGGTTGCTGGGACCTGAGGATGGAGTTAAGCAGCCAGGTTTTGTATATAACAAGACATGTGGGCCTTGGGGGTGCTTGGCTTTTAGCGTGCTGTTGGGGTTCCAGCTTAGCCGAACTGGTAGGACGCATTTACCAATTATCTCACTCTCTTTCTTCCTGAGTTATTACTTTCTTCATTTCCCCTCTTTGTAAATAAACCCTTTATTAACCTTTTGTGTGTGTCTGCAGTTGAGTCTCATTATAAGCCCCTTTAAAGTATGTGGGTGAGGACCCACAGTCAGGCCAACCCATTTCACATTGGGGTTGCTTGTAACAATCCCACTGGAAAAATGTTTATTCTTTTAGATGGAGAAGGAAAAGACCGTTGAGTTGATGGAGGCCTTTGTTGATGAAATCTCTGGAATCGTGGCTGAAGTTAGAAAGTAACAGCCAATGCAACCATTATGTGTGCACCCTGTGTCCAGTTTAAAGAAGATAGCCATCCTTTTGATTTTGGACTTTACAGGGAAGCTGTGAAAGTTACCCAGCAGTTGATCTTGATGAAATTTTTATGATTGCACAGAAGCTACACAAAACATTAATAAAGGAGACCCCTGTGGTCTCCAGAAGGACAGACTCTTGTGATCATCAACATCTTAATTTGTTCTGATTCCATTTACTTAACTTTATTAAATATTCTAATATGCCATTTTTATTAGGACTGGTATATTGACAGTTCTTACCAAAGCCCTCAAAAAGAAGAAATTTTCACTTCACTATTGTATGGTCAAATCATAAGCAAGACCAAAGCAGTTAGCTTAGTTTTTTTTTTTTTTTATTAATTAAAGTTAAAATGGTGTTATATATGTATGTATTGTATATATAATATATATATATATATATATATATATATATATATAATTGGTCAGTCCTGCTTGGTGGCATATGTGTGTGTGTGTGTGTGTGTGTGTATCATAGTTGTGACAACCAGCTGAATCTGAAGACACTGAATCTGAAGTTTCTAAATGAGGCAAAGGTCTAGTTAGTCCAGCATGGACGCCCTCAGGCAGGGGATTCAAAGAGTGTGCCCTCTCTCTACCCTGGACCTTCAAGCACATCATTTGCAGAAATAAAATGTACAGGCACATCAGTCTCTTGTTGCATCAAGTAAGTGAACTAATTTTGTGATTTTTTTTCTAATGGGAAAAGGGGATTCCTTTTCTTTGGTAACTAACTCTTTAAAACCACGTTTTGGTGGGCCTCCCCAGTGGCGCAGCGGTTGAGCGCTGGGTTGCGAAGCTGCCCGCGGCCTCTGCGGCGCCGGTTTGATCCCCGGCTGCTCCCCAGCCACCGGAGGAGGGTCCCACATGGCGCGCAGACCTCTCCTGCCGCCGACTGCTCCCCTCAGCAGTGTACTTCGGTCCTTCTGCCTGCTCTGCTCCCTGCTCTGGCTCTGGTGAATTCTCTCACCCTCCTGCGCTTCTGACTGTACCCAGTGCATGTATAAACAAAAACAAAACAAACAAACAAATAAAAATAAAACATGCCTCTATAAAAAAAAAATAAAAAAAATAAAACCACGTTTTGGAAATGTTATCTTAACTCAAGAGTAGGTAATCCTCTGGATAAAACTAGTAGCGTTAGTTTCACACAATAGGCCATTGTTCTCCGATATTCTCTGTCCACTTAAGCTTCCTGTAGCTATTGAGTAAAATTCCTCATGCAGGAGGAATGACTGCACCGGGTCTAGAACAATAACCTACAATTGCATAGAGCTTTGGGTTTGAAAGCTCTTTCACACTAATCCAGATGAAACTATACCAAAGGGCAGAACTGGACAAGTTCAGAGGCAGTGGTTCATCCAGGAACCTTGTATTTGTTTCTGTATATTTGGAGGTGGGGTGGGGCAAAAATTGAAACAGCAACAAACATAAACCACCTATGCTCTATGTACCCCTTTGCAATTCATTCTATCAACAAATACATTTAATTAAACATTTACTGAGAACCTATTACATGCCATAACTTGCTAAATGTCAGGAACGCCATTTTCTTAACTCTAACAGACACTATATTTCTTCCTAATCACCCATACCTAAGAACAGTAAATCTGCAGTATCCCAGATGCCCCTGCAATTGACTTGCGTGTAATATTTAACTGGAGAGCTGCCAACCCTATTCGTCATACCTTAAATGATTGCAATGGGGTTCTCATAACAATACCCCAGATCGCATGCACTGTAAACCTGAACGTCCAAACTGCTCTTCGTGGTGGCCTCTATGGAGCAGAAATAGGACACAGGGGATTGGAGGCCCACACGTCATTATATACATGTTTGTATTGCTTGGCTTTCACCCGGTGTGTTTGCGACTTTGATCGTTGGTGAACGAGCCCGCGCAGCTGCAGACCCTAGTGCAGCCAGAAGGGTCGTGCCCACGCCCCCTCGCAGCGCCCACCTCGCGTGCGCCGGTAGGTGAGCGGGTGGCAATGCAATTGTAGATTATGCAATAGTAGATTATTCTAGACCCGGTGCAGTCAGCAACTGTATGAGGAATTTCAGTCAATAGCTACAGGAGCCGCGGCAGGGAGGGGCTCGTAGCTGGTGCCGGCGCTGGAAGCTTTGCTCTCAGCGCGCGCTGCAAGTTGCTGGGAAGCAGCTCCGGGTTGCAGGGCAGGAAAGTGCCCAGCCAACCCCCTCCCCAGGCAAACTTTCAGCCGCCGTGACGGAAGCAGGAACTTGCGAAACCCAATCCCCGCTGGACCCGGCGGGAGCGGCGGAGCATCCCCACCCTTCCTGCGAGACCCCGCGCGGATTGGCCGTCCTGCGCAGCGAGCGCGCCGGGGCTGGTCTGGCATCCGAGCACCACCCGCTCCTGCAGCCGCCAGGTAAAGGCGTCTGCGCCCTCCGCTCCAGACCCTCCGCGGGCAGCGTCGCCACCTGCAAAGAACAGCTGCCTGCTTCCCCCTGGAGAGGAGGCTCCCCCATCCCCGAAGGGTAGGGCGCGGTGATCTGTGCGGCGCCGGGTACCCCAGAGGGGTCTCTAGGCGCAGTCGCACCTGTTGCAAATGCCAGCGGCTCCGCGTCGTCATCGGAAGAAGCAGCATAGTTTAGTGAGCGACATCTGGGACATTTTCCCATTTTTTTTCCTTGTATGATTTTTTTTTTTTTAAGATTTATTTATGCAAGCATGCAAGAGCTGGGGTGTAGGCCAGAGGTGCAGGGGGTGAGAGGATTCACCAGAGACAGAGTGGGGAACAGAACAGGTGAGCAGCGGGCGAGTCCGGAGAGGTCTGCCTCGCCATGTGGGTTGCTCCTTGGCTGGCCGGGGATCGAACTCGTGCTGCAGAGGCTGTGGATTGCTTCATAGTGCCGTGCTTAATCCCTTGAGCCACCAGGGAGGCCCTTTTTCTTGTAATTTGTCTCCTGTATTCATATAGAACCTGCTGAGTGCCTAACACTCTGTAGGGTGGGGAGGGTAGGGAAGGAGGGTTATAAACATTTTCATAAATCAGGTTAGATTATGCTTTGACTAAAATGATTTCCAACATTTCAGACAATTCTGTACAAGTACTGTACAACTTGGTGACCCTATATATAGGGACATTTCAGCTCAGGTGTTTTCTCTGTCTCCCACCTTTTCCCTTTTCCGTCTCTTTCAACAGGATGCAGCTTGACTTTGGATTTTTAAGGCCTAAATAACAATGGACAGAAAAATGGTTGTTGAGTATCTTTACTGAGAACTCCCAGCACGGCTCCAAGTACGGTGGCTGCAGCCATATTGCTTGCTGCACACAAAGCTTCTACCCCATCCCCTATCATAATTCAGGTTTCTTTGCTAGAACCTGAGGACAGACTGTCAGAATCCATCAAAGCAAAATCTTGATCTGTTTTTATCTCTTGTTTCTGATTTGTTTCCTCTAGGACTAGAAAAAAAGATTTGCAAAGTGTGACAGCATAAAAAGGAACTAGTGGCAGGATTCTTAACCTGGGAAGTCTGTGAAGTGAGGTGGGCAGGGGAGGATTTATTGTTTTACTATCCCATAATTGAAATGTAACATATCCTTGTAAGAGGAATGTAGGGAAAAGCCACAGTTCTACTAGAGGTGGTCCTTTTAGTGGTGGAATTTGCCAGGTGAAGAAATCAGATATTTTCCTATCATATTACTTATGGCACGTATCTCAAAATTTCATTTACATTGAACAATACTTCAAAATTAGGGCAGTAATAAGACATTTTATAGGTCATAGGCTATTAAAGAGGCCCAAGTATCACACAACTGTTTGGATTCTAATTGAAGATATGATGATCTCAGAATTCTTGTACCAATTAAATGACACAATACAGGTGAAGTGCATATCATAGAGATGGGTGTGTAAGAAGCATAAATATATGAAAAACATGTTGTCTTACTGTTTACAAAATGTACTGTATTAAACTTGTGTGGGGTTTTTAAACTAGTTTGTTATTTTTTCTTACTGAAGTTTGTGTCTCTTAGCGTTCACTTTTTATGTGTACAGATCTATCAATTTGGACAAATGGTAGATATCCACCATGACAGTAGCATATAGAATAGTTTCAGTGCCCTGTACTCAACCCTCCTCTGCTCCTCCTGGCAACCACTGATTTTTTGGTTTTTCCAGGTTAGTAGGAATCTTGCTTTTCAAATTGGCCTCTTTCATTTAGCCATATGCAAATAAGGCTCCTCTGTGCCTCGGAAGCTCAATAATATTAAAAAATTATATTGGGCCACCCTAGTAGCACAGGGGTTAAAGACAAGCGCTGTCAAGCTAACAAGCTATCAGCAGCCACTATAGCTTGAGTTTGATCGCCAGCCAGGGAGCTGACCCACATATGATGCAGCAGACCTCTCCTGCCTCACCTGCTGCTCCCCTCATCAATGTATTTCAGTAGATCCACCTGTTCTGTTCCCCACTCTGTCTCTGGTGAATCCTCTCAGCCCCTGAAACTCTGGCCTGTACCCCAGCTCTTGTATGTATAAATAAAGAAAAAATTATATTTATTACTGAACAATATCCCGTTGTATGGATGTACCCACATTTTATTTATCCATTTACTTATTGAGAGACATCTTGGTTACTTCCAATTTTGGGCAGTAATGAATAAAATTACTATGAACATTGGTATGCAGGTTTTTGTTGGGATTTGGTATTGCCAATTTTGGAAATTTAAGCCATTCCAATAAATTGTTTTAATTTGTAATTCCCTTATGACAGTGATATCGAATGCCTTTTCATATGTGTGTTTGTGGCCTGTATATCTTTGGTGAGGCATGTGCTCTGATCTTTCGCCCATGTTTTTTTAAAGATTTGTTTATTTATACATACAAGAGCTGGGGTACAGGCCAGAGACATGGGGGATGAGAGGATCCACCAGAGACAGAGTGGGAAACAGAACAGGCAGACTAACCGAAACACACTGCTGAGGGGAGGAGCAAGTGAGACAGGAGAGGTCTGCCTCACCATGTGGGTTGCTCCCTGGCTGGCAGGGAATTGGGGATCGAACTTGTGCTGCAGAGGCTGTGGATTGCTTCACAGTGCTGTGCCCAACCCCCTGTGCCACCAGGGAGGCCCTCTTTTGCCCATTTTAAACAGTGTATTTTGTTTTCTTTTAAGTTTCAAGAATTCTTTGTATATTTCTCTACCAGTCCTTTATCACATATGTGCTTTGCAGGTATTTTCTTCCAGTCCATAGATGATTTTATCATTCTCTTAACAGTGTCTTGCACAGACCAGAAGTTTTTAATGCTAAAAAAATCCATAATTTTTTTTTTTTCTTTCATGGATTGTGCTTTTAAAGTAGTATCTAAAAACTTATCCCCTCACCTAATGTCACAAAGATTTCCTCTGATGTTATATTCTGGGAGCTTTGTAATTTTGCATTTTACATTTAAATCAGTGATGCATTTTCAGATAATATTTGTGAAAGAACTAAGACCTTTGACTGGATTTACTTTGCATGTTCAGTTGTTTCACCACCACGTTTATAAGACTGTCCTTTCCCCGTTGAATTCCCTTTCCTCCTTTGTCCATGATCAGTTCACTATATTTTTGTGGGTCTATAGCTGGGCTTGCTGTTCTGTCCCATTGGTCTGTTTGTTCCTTCACCAGTCCCACACCGTCTTGGGTACTATAGCTTTATAGTAAGTATTAAAGATGAGTAGACTCATTTTTCCAACTTTGTTCTTCATTGTTGTGTTGACTGTTCTTTGCATTTCCATGCAAACTTTAAAGTTTGTTGAGGGCCTCCCCTAGTAATGCAGGCGGTTGAGCACAGTGCTATGAAGCTGTCCGCAGCCTCTGTTGCGCCGGTTCGATCCTGGAAGGCCAGCGAGGGTCCCACATGGCGCGGCAGACCTCTCCTGCCTCACCCGCTGCTCCCCTCAGCAGTGTATTTTGTCAGTCTGCCTGTTCTGTTCCCCGCTCTGTCTCTGGTGAATCCTCTCACCCTCCCGTGAATCTGACCTGTACCCCAGTTCTTGTATAAATAAATAAATAAAAATCTTTAAAAAAATAAAATAAGTTTGTTGATATCCACAAAAAATTGGGATTTTTGGCTGGCATTATATTGAATCCAGGGAGCAAGATGGAAAGCATTGACACCTTAAGAATATTCAATCCTCCTATCGATAAACATGGACAATCTCGCCATCTATCCAGGTCATCTTTGATTTCTTTCATCAGAATTTTACAGGAACATTTTTAAAACTTTTTTGGTAATTATATATATATAAAGATATATTTTTTTGTGCATACAAGAGCTGGGATACAGGCCAGAGGTGCAGGGTGGGGTGAGAGGATTCACCAGAGACAGAGTAGGGAACAGAACAGGCAGACTGACCAAGGTACACTGCTGAGGGGAGCAGCAGGCGAGTCAGGAGAGGTCTGCTGCACCATGTGGGCTGCTCCCTGGCCGGCCTGGGGGATCTGAATTGTGCTGCAGAGGCTGCGGACAGCTTCATAGCTTGTGCATCTCAACCCCCGTGCCACCAGGGAGGCCCTGGTAATTATATTTTGATATGTATTTTGTTGTAATCCTATATGTTTCATTTTATGCATTAAAACATGTCTCTTAGAACATGTCTCTTAGAAAAGATCCTAAGTTTTACCAGACTGTCAAAGGGCTCAGGAGCAAAACAAAATGTTAAGGAAGGAGTACTTCTGTTTCAGGCTATCATTCAGTGAGCAATTTATATTCTGGAAATGCAGGGCTGAGTAAATACGGATAGGTTTTGGAGTGCTCTGTCTGTTTAACATTTTTCTTTATTTTTCCTAGAAAAACCAACTTTCCGGTGGAGTTGGCATTATACCTCCTGTGACTTTTGTATTTTTAGGGATGTCAAAAAGAAGACCAGCTCCTAAATAGTCCTCCAGCTGAGTCATAAGCTTCCTCCTGCTGACCAGCCAATTCTTAGAATTCAATTACTAGAACTACCTGCCTCTGGTTTGATACTTAAGAAATGCTGCAACAAGCAAAGCAGCTTCACCTTCCTCACCTATAAGATGAGGAAAATAATAGCTTTTTTTGCAGACCTGGCACAAGGATTAAATAAGACAACAATATATGTAAATTCCTTAGCACTGTGCTTGCCACCTGGTGGTTGTTTATAAAATGCTAATTTTTTTTTTTTTTTTATAATAAATTTTATTTTTATATTCCCCATACAATTGCAACCCCCTTATTTTGACCCCAATCCCTCCCCTCCCCACCCCCCACTTCCCATAGAGTGTCTCTGGTTCATAGTTGTTTGTTGTAAAATGCTAATTTTTTAAAAGATTTATTTATTTATGCATACAAGAAGTGGGGTACAGACCAGAGGTACGGGGGAGGGGTGGTGTGTGTGAGAGGATTCACCAGACACAGAGTGGGGAACAGAACAGGCAGATTTACTGAAATACTCTGCTGAGGGGAGCAGCAGGTGAGACAGGAGAGGTCTGCTGTGCCATGTGGGTTTCTCCCTGGCCGGGGATTGAACTCATGCTGCAGTGGTTGCGTATAGCCTCATAGGTTGAATATCAACCCCTTGCGCCACCAGGGAGGCCCTAAAATGCTAATTGTTATTGCTGTGAAAGGAAATGTGCCCAGATCTCTGACTACTTCATCAATGACTAGAGATTTTATGTCTTCTTTCTTCTTGGTGAGAAGAGGCAAAAAGATGGATTCTAGAACTCAGATGAAGGCCAACTGGTTTGTAAACTTCCTTTATAAGCTCAAGTATGGGTTAATGCATGTGTTTGTGGCAGTTAGCTCTTTGCCAATTTTTAAATAAAATTTATCTTTATTAAAAGTGAAGTGGATTTAAAAATACTGGTTTATTTCTGTCCTTCTATAAATGGTGAGCCATTTGCATTGCCTTAAAGGAAGTAAAATCTTTCATCCCTCAATTTGTTCACGGAAACAAAACTCATTGATGATTTTCTATTTTTGTTCTAGAGAGAAATTCCACCATCTGTGCAGTTGTCTCCAAGCTCAGACCAGAGGACTTTTGACTTTTGAAGACTAAGGCGAAACAGAAGTTAAAATGTTCTTCTGGAAAGAACAGATCTTGACTTACACGTTTGTAATTATTTTTTGCCTCACACTAAGGCTGTCCACCAGCCAGAAGTGTCCCACTGAGAGCCTGGAAGATGTCGTCATCGACATCCAGTCATCTCTTCCTAAGGGAATCAGAGGCAGTGAGCCCATACACACATTAACTCAAGAAGACTGCATTAACTCTTGCTGTTCAACTACAAACATATCAGGTAAATGATAGTCCCTGGGTCAGTTTTATTCCATGTGTTTGTGATATAAGTAGCTGGTTGAATAGCCTAATAGTTTTAACTAGTGATTCTCAATGGGATGAAAAGGTGGGTCACAGAATACCTGGGGGAACATTCCACAAGTGTGCTTTCCTCTCCCCTGAGCAGTGTCAAAGTTACTGATGAGTGTGTATGTTTGTACACGTGTGTGTGCATGCATGCGTACGTGTATGCATATCATTCAGGTGTCTGGTTAGAGAAAGTTTGAGAACTACTGAGTGTTAGAACTAACAGGCATCTAGGGTATTACATACATAAATGCTTAGTTGCCAAATACATTAAATGTTTATATTGGAATATAGTGTGATAACACCAAGGATATAAAAACAGAGGAATGGAATGGAGGCAAAAAGTAAGGTTCTCAGTTCATGCCATTGGATAATGAACATTTGACTTTTAAGCAGAAGCACAAACCCTTATTTCATGTCTCTTCCCAGAGCTGGTGCAGTCAGGTGAGTCAGGGGACCAGGAAACTGCTGCCCCTGGTCCTGGTATTTTCTGTAGCATCTTGAACTCTGAGGGGCTCACTGCATTGTTATGTCTGATCCATTTGCATGACAAAGAAGGAAGCTGAGGCTGTTGTTTGAACCAGGCCTTTGCATATTTCAGACTCCTAACCCGTGAACTGAGAAGTGAACTGATGCCATTTTCCATGGGATGTTTATGACCCCAACCTGATTCTCAAAATGAAGAAAACCCAAAATTGATCAAATACATAAACTTTGTTAGGTGCTAGAGGTAAAACAGTGATGGGCATGGATCAGTGATTCCTACTGATCTTATTGGCCAACAAAAATCAGCTTTTCTCTCAGATCTTTATTTCCTTTGTTTTTTTTTTTTTTTAAGACTTTTTTTTTTTTTTTTTTAGAGGCATGTTTTATTTATTTATTTGTTTGTTTGTTTGTCCATACAAGCACTGGGCACAGTCAGAAGCCCGGGAAGGTGAGAGAATTCACCAGAGCCAGAGCAGGGAGCAGAGCAGGCAGAAGGACCGAAGGACACTGCTGAGGGGAGCAGCGGGCGGCAGGAGAGGTCTGTGCGCCATGCGGGACCCTCCTCCGGTGGCCGGGGAGCAGCCAGGGATCGAACCGATGCTGCAGAGGCCGCGGGCAGCTTCGCAACCCAGCGCTCAACCGCTGCGCCACCGGAGAGGCCCTATTTCCTTTGTTTTTTTATAATGGTTGTGGCATAGTAATCAAAATATAGATAAAGTTTAAATAACTTAAATATATGCAAAAATGCAAGTGATTAAATGTATTTAAATAAAACCATGAAATAGAATTTAAGTGCTTGAATACATTTCAATCCTTTGAAGATAAACAAATTCAAACAAAATTTAAGTACTTATTTATATAAGTGTATACTTATGTAATAGTATGTGTTTATGTAATAAATACAAATGGAGATTTATTGTCTTCCCTGTTCCTGGCACCAAGTCCCTAAAAAATCCTTAGAATTTCCTAAGCATCAGGCTTCTTTTGTTATTCATAACACATCCCTTTGACCTTGCCTGAGTTTATGCTAAGGAGACACATCCGGATAGCTTCTGGGGACAGGCCACCAGAAAGACCAAGGCTTATTAGTCTTGCAACTTTCAGGTGATAAATTTAGTCACCAGTGGCTGATAATTTCATCACTTGTGCCTGAGTAAGGAAATCTCCAGAAAACCCCTTAAAGCATAGGTTCAGGGAGCTTCCAAGTTGGGAAGTACATGACGTGCCAGGAACAGAGCACATATCAACTCCATGGGGACAAAGGCTGTGAGATCAGCCCTTCCCAACTCTCCCAGTTATCTCTCCATTCGGCTGCTCCTTATATCCTTGATAATGAACTATAATTGTAAGTATAGCATTTTCTGAGTCTGGGAAGAGTCCCAGCAACTTATCAAATGTATTTAAATTAAACCATGGCGGTTGGAGATTGTGAACACATGAATTTGTAGCCAAGTGAGAAGTGAGCAGAAGAGAGAGTAACCTGGGATGGACATCTGAAGTGAGCCCCTAAAACTGTGTGGTCTGACGCTAGGTCTAGGTCGATGGAGTCGGAATGGAATTGAATTGTAGGACACCCTGGTGGCATAGAGTATGGAGGATTAGTATGGAAAAGACGGGTCTTTCCAAGTCGGGCAGTGTGCTCTTGGACACTCCGTAGAGAAGTAACATACAGAAGTTACAGAGATTGCGTTTAAATTTCTAGTGTAGGGCCTCCCTGGTTGCACAAGGGGTTAAGACGCAGTCCACAGCCACTGCAGCACGAGTTGGATCCCCGGCCATTGCGGTGACCCACATGACAATTCAGACCTCTCCTGTCTTCCACGCTGCTCCCCTCAGCAGTGTGTTTCAGTCAATCTGCCTGTTCTGTTCCCCACTCTGTCTTTGGTGAATCCTCTCACCCACCATACCTCTGGCCTGCACCCCAGTTCTTGTATGCATAAGTACATAAATCTATAAAAAAAATTCTAGTGCACCCACAAAAACCACACCCATGGCTTCAGAGGTGGCTGAGATGCCTTCAGGATGCACGAGATGTCTGGAATCATTAGGGACTGCAGTCAGTATTCCTGTGTATATGCTAACAGGTTGTGTAGCAAATGGAAGGTCTATATATAAAGATATTAGATTGACTGCTAAAAATTGCTTCTGCCAAAATTACGCTCATTCAGATTGTTAAATCCAGTGTCTTTAGAAATCGCTTTAGTGACTAAACTAAGGAAAAGGAAATGACTCAGTGGTCAGCAAGCCATGAACAAAGGTGTTTGTGTTGGACACTCAAAATAAACGGAGTTCTTCCTGCTTGCCATACTCTTTAGAAAGTCCTATTTCAAACTAATGCTTACGAAACCTTTTGTTGCAGGCAACAAAGCATGTAATTTGATGATCTTCGACGCTCGGAAAACTACCAGACAACCCAATTGCTACCTATTTTTCTGTCCCAGTGAGGAAGCCTGTCCATTGAAACCAGCAAAGGGACTTAGGACTTACAGGATAATCCGAGGTAATGAACACATTGTTCTTTTTCTTGTTGAGATTGGGATTATTTTTTTTTAAGATTTATTTATTTATGCATACAAGAACGGAGGTGCAGGCCAGAGGTGTTGGGGGTGAGAGGATTCACTAGAGACAGAGTGGGGAGCAGAACAGGCAGACTGACTGAAATTTACTGCTAAGGGGAGCAGCGGGTGAGTCAGGAGAGGTCTGCTGAGCCATGTGGGTCACCTCCCTGGCTGGGGATCAAACTCATGCTGCAGTGACTGTGGACAGCTTCATAGTGCTGCGTCTTAACCCCTTGTGCCACCAGCGAGGCCTGACATTGGGATTATTGAAGGAAGGATGTGGTTTTTATGAAAGACTTTTCACAAGAGGTCCAAGTAAAATTGCCCAAAGGGGTCACAGATAGGGACATCAGAAAAATCTCATGTACTACAATTTTATTTACTAAACCAAATATTTTTTCCATTGGAAGCTTTGAATGATAGCATTTTTCTTTTGTTTCTACCTTTGTAATAGAAAAGACACCCAGATCTTTTGTGGGGACCTTTTTGAAACACCTTGTTAGAATGATGTCAGCAACCCTAGAATAACTATAGAGGACTCAGGGGTCACTGTTTTGAAAGAGTTAAGACCATGTGAAGATAAAATATTCTAGTTAGGGTCAATCACATCTAAAATCAAACTCATTGGATTTTATTGTTTAGACCTGGTGGGAAATTAAATATTTCTTGAGAAGCTACCATGCACCAAATTCTATACAAAGCACTGGAAATAAAATCTCATTCCTCATGGAACTTTCATACTTTTGCAGAGTACAGAAGACAACTGAAAAGATATTAATATAATTATTTGAGTATGTCTTAGTGAGATTTGGGGCTTATTCATTTTTCCAGATGAAATACTTTCTAGATCAGATTTCCTCTTAAGTTTTTAAGACTTTTTTGTCTTATCCTTGACAAAAGGAAACATTCTGTTTGTTCATTTATTCAAAAGATAACCAATATCATTTAGCATCTCTTATGTGCCAAGCACTTTTTATGCCCTCAGAATACACAGTGAACATGAAAAATAAGGTTCTCTCTTCTGGAACTTGCATTTTAGGAAAGAAAGATAATAACCATAATAAAGAAATAATCAAGAAAAATATAGTTGCAAGCACTATGTTGTGAATTGAGCTGAGACAATGTAATAGAAAATCAATGAGCAGACCCGCTCAAGTCGGTGATCAGAGGAAGCATTCTTAAGAAGTAGCCCCTCAACTGAGATCCGCATAGAGTCAGATGTCAGAAGACTGTGGGAAGGCCTTCTAGATGGAGCAAAGAGCCTGCTCTCATATCTTTAGGCCGAATGGTTTGGAGTGTTTGAAGCACAAACACTCCAGTCCCAGCTGGCTGAGTCAGAGTGAACCATGTAGAGTTATTGGCAAGAAGAAAGATGGGAGACCCCATTGAGCTTTGTAAGCCAGGTAGGGAGTTTGATTTCAGATGTGCCATGGTGAAGCATTGGAAGTCTTCTAGCTGAGGTGCAATGTGGTGTTGGGTGTTTTTATTCCTATATTTGTAGTGTGGTGTTTTAAAGGTGAGGTCTCAAAACTCATGGGGACTGCTGTTTGGGGTATGGACATGGACAGTGGACAGTGACATAAGGCAAGACGGACGTGGAACGACAGGGTAGGAGGCAGGGCTAAATCTGGGAAAGCCTTTAGCCTGTGGCCCGGGAGGTGGTAGAAGAGTTGGGGAGAAGTAGACATGGTTTCTGCAGAGGTAAATGTTATAGGGCAGGGTGAAGGGTACCCTTAGACCTCCCAAACCTGCACACCCTAAATGGGTTCTGCCATTTGCCATATCAAGACAAAACATAATCCAATGTGTAAGACCCTCAATAGAAAATAATTAGTGTGCAATAAAGAGAAAAAGAATATAGTTTTCAATTAAACACCCAAAATTACCCATCCCCTCATGGGTAAATGTCCAACCAAATAGGGTTGGCCCAAAGCAGAGCCACTGAGGCCACAAGCTACCTTCTGATGCTTTCTGGTGTGGCCTGCTAGGAAGGGGCAGAAGGGGCTAGACCAGTCTGGAAAAAAAACAGAAAAATCAAAATTAAGATAAAGCCTGCCATTGTCAGTCCCTCCCCCGGGTCTCTCTCACCCACATCTGTTTCAAGTGTCTCCTTCCATGCCCCCAAGTCCCTGGTACAAGTCCAAGGCCAAGAAGCAATGCAGCTTCTTCACAAGTCTCTCTGCTGCATGTTCCTCCTCCAGGTCTCCTTGGTTTCCTTCCTTCCTTCCTTCTCCATGTCTTCTCTAGTTTCTCATCCCTGCAGGGAACCTGGAACCTCCCCTTTCCCTGGGGACCACCCTGTTCCAGTAGTCTTGGCAGGACTAAGTCCTGATTTTCAACTTGAACATCAGTATAGGTGGCACAACTTACTGAGCTAGGGAAGATTTGAGGAGAAGCAGTTTTAGGGGTGGGAGGTGGATTACAATCAAGGGTTCTCTCTTCATTCAATGTGAGGTCCATTTGGGAATAGATATTGCCTTGGACAGCTGGGCACTGACTCTGCTTTGTCCCCTGGGTGAGACTGTGTTTGAGTTTTTTTCATCAGCCAGGAAAATCTGATGGATCAGACATTCCTTTAAACAGAAGCAGGAACCACAAACTATTTGTATAAGTGTCTCTTAAATAATGAGGTGAGCCCAAGTATAAAATGAGGGCCCCATGAGATACAAAGTCCAGCTTTGCAAGACAAAAACTTCAGGCACTGGGTGGAGCGATGTTTACACAACACAGTTACTTATACTCAGTGCTGTTCAACTGGGCACTTTGAAACAGTTAGTGGTAAAGTGTAAATGTATTTTGCCACAATTAAAAGTGATTTTTAAAAGACTATAACTCAGAACAAATTAGGCATTCAGAACATTCTAGACCTGACCTTGCATGAACAATGTCTGGCCCTTCTGCGCTTCCTGGGTTTCTGCAGCCAGGGTGGCTGACCTTGATCTGTGTGGCTCCTTCACATCTGTGTCTGTGTACATATAGTCTTTTTTTTATAAAAGATGTATTTATTTATGCATGCAAGAGCTGGGGTGTAAGCCAGATGTGTGGGCTGTGAGAAGATTCACCAGAGATAGTGGGGAGCACAACAGGCGCATCTACTGAAATACACTGCTGAGGGGAGCAGTGGGCGAGTCAGGAGAGGTCTGCTGCAACATGTGGGTCACCTCCCTGGCCGGGGATTGAACTCATGCTGCAGTGGCTGCGGATAACTTCATAGTGCTGACGCTTAACCTCTTGTGCCACCAGGGAGACCCCTGTGTGCATACAGTCTTGACTGAGAACATGGGGACCTCCTGCGTGGTGTGGGTAGGACTTCTTCCTGTTCTTCTTGATCTCGAGAACATTGCAGAGGCCTGGGAGCGGATATCCTACTCTGAATGTCCAAAGTGAGATCTGGATTCAAGGTGCTGATTGGGACATTTATTCTTCTCCCGCTGGAGCCCCATCACATGGAAACTGACCACCACACCTCAGTTACCCCTTCTCACTGCTTCATCTTCATCCTGTCCTTTCTTCCACTCTCAGTATTCATTCCCTGTGTCAATTACCTAGCTCACAATTAAGGCAGAATAGTAAAGCGATAAAAAATGATTTAATCCAGTAATTCCATTTCCATCAAATCTATACTAAAGAGACAACACTGAAACCAGAAAAGCTACTGGTGTGAAGCTTTTTATTGAATAATTAGCTTAAGACATGACTAACTAGCAGCAGCATATGTGTCTAGTTGTCCATGATTGGTTGGGCTAGCAAGTGTGATGGATCCACTCTAGGGAGTACAGTGCAGACACTAAAAAAGTAAGTGTACGGTGTAGAAATAAACAAAACCACCTACATCTCAGGCTAAAAACACCCAGGTAATTTTTTTCAATTACATGAAAAAATATCATCTTTAAAGTAGACAGAAATGTTCATAGTTGCTGGGACAGGGTAGAAATTTTAGTTGAGATTGTTTTATAATATTCATAATGCATCTGTAACATTGCTTTTATGCTGCATGTATAAAAGAGTGAGTGTGACAGTGGAATACTACTCAGCTGTCAAAAATGATGACATAGTGCCTTTCAAGACAAAGAGGATAGATCTTGAGCTTATTATGCCAAGTGGAAAAGCCAAAAGTGAAAGATGGTGACCCAATATTTTTCTCACTTGCTGAGTATAAATAACCAGAGAAAACAAACTGGCAAAACACAACAGGTGTAATTCACAGAATCTGAAATGTGCGCTGGTTACCAGAGAGGCTGAGTGGAGGGAGAAAGGGAAGGAAATATGATAGGATATTGGCACTGGAGTTTGGTGGAGGGCGAGAGAGGCATGTGCAAAGTTGTACTCTCAAAATTATATAGCTATGTAAACAATTGATAGATCAATAAATTTTGAGAAAAAAGAAGAGGGAATACGTGGTAATGATTCTCTCCAATGAAAATGGGAGAAAAGGGAACTTGGCCACCTGCACAAACCTTTTAAGGACTACTATGAAGGTAAAGAAGTGATAGAATTGAACAGTTCCTGTGGAGGCCAGCAGGGGGCGCCATCAGTCCAGCGCAGGTAGATTACCATCCAGGGACCAGGGGGCGCCCACCCTGGGCATGTGTGCAGTGACTGTTTATATCTACAGGATATTTACAAGTTGTGTTTGTCATTCATCTTTTGAAACTGCTCATGCTGATGGACTAAAATGACCCCATAAAAATAAATTATCTGTGCCTCCTGTTTGGAGTGAAATTAAATAGGTATCTGTTGAATGGTTTCTTTCCAGGCGAGCTCTGTTTCCTATAACTGATTAATATTTACAGTGTGCGAGCATGAGCGATGGCAGGGCACTCTTACTCATTCTAACCAACCATTGCAGCTCCGCCTTATTTATTTTTGCAGCTTTGTGCTAAGTCGCTCCTACCAAAGACGAGAATTAGGGAATTCAGAAGTAGAAAAAAACTAGGAATCTGGTTACTCAGCCAGTTTCCAAATTATAGTCAGCCTCTAAGTTTTTTCACTCTGTGAAGTCACTTAAAATGTAACTCAGAAAGGGGGTTGAGGGCAGGGGGCTGTTTCCCAGCCCCCTCTGTGGTTTATACTTGCATTGGCCCAGAGAAAGTACCGCACCCCAACTGCAAACATCAGGGGGTGGGGTCCACGGAGCAGGTGTGAAGGAGCCGCCTCTTCTAGGAGCTTTGCCAATAGACCAATCTTATCAAGAAGTGGGACTGACCTTCCCTTTGCTTTGTGAGCTTGCATTCCTGAGAAACAAAACAGTTGTTTTTGTCAGTCTTATCATCGCCCTTATTTAAGTTCTGCCCTCACACTTCACAGGACATTTACTAAAACTGTCATTTTTAACTTTAAAATGAAATATGTTGGGCCTCCCTGGTGGCACAAGGAGGTAAGCACCACACTATGAAGCAATCCGCAATCCCCAGCCAGCCAGGGAGCAACCCACATGGTGAGGGGACCTCTCCTGTCTTGCCTGCTGCTCCCCACAGCGGTGTGCTTCAATCTGCCAGTTCTGCTCCCCACTCTGTCTCTGGTGAATCCTCTCACCCCCCAACCCTGCATCTCTGGCCTGTACCCCAGATCTTTTATGCATAAATAAATAAATCTTTAAAAAATTAAATATATATATGTTGAGTCCTATTTTTAAAGTCTCTGATTTTTTTTAAAGATTTATTTATTTATGTATATAAGAACCGGGGTACAGGCCAGATGTGCGGGAGGGTGAGAGGATTCACCAGAGACAGAGCGGAGAGCAGAACAGGCAAAAGGACCAAAATACACTGCTGAAGGGAGCAGCGGGTGAGACAGGAGAGGTCTGCCAGGCCATGTGGGTATCTCCTTGGCCGGCCAGGATGGAACCGGTGCTGCAGAGGCTGCGACAGCTTCACAGCTCTGTGCTCAACCACCTGAGCCACCAGGGAGGTCCCTAAAATCTCTGATCTTAACTAAGACTATAGATGCTGTTTATCTCCTGGTGATGCTTTGTGTATGAACGCACTATCACCTCCAGCAGAAACTCTTCTTCAGCGTTGGTGGAGGAAAGAGGCACACCAGGCATTTCAATCCGCTTTTAGCAGAGAGGACTAGATCCTAGGGCAGGTGTCCACAAACCATCAGGAGCCAAAGAATATGTTTTTTAGACTTTTACCTATTTCACCTGGGCAATATATAAACCAAGGTGTGTGTGGTTGTGTGTCAGTAAAACTTTATGGATGGACACAAGTGTGTCCATCCAATTAATTTCATGTAATTTTCACGTGTCACAAAATACTGTTTTGTTTTTCCAACCATTTCAAAAGGTGGAAACTGTTCTTATTTTACAAGTCATACAAAGGTGGTGGCAGGTTAGATGTGGCCCTTGGGGCCCTGTGTTTGTGGACCCCCAATTACCCCAGGGCCTGAGATGAATGGCAGTGGCTGGTGTCGGTGGAATAGATGTGGCTGTGTCAGTGGCCGTTCTAGAGAACGTAGGGGTGACACTTTCAGGGCAGTCACAGATGGCACAAAGCTGAGGCTGTGTCTGGATCTGTCTGCGAGGAGAGAGGGGAGTAAGGCTCATTTAGAACCTGCACCCAAGGGAGCTGCAGAAGACAAGGCAAGGGGACAGGGGTGATGCCAGATAATAAATGTTAGGTAATCCCTTGACTTCTTTCCAGGTTTTCTGCAGTGATTAAAAAAAAAAAGTCCTCCAATCTGAGGAAGCTCCAAGGCTGGTTCCTCTCATGAACAGACACTGTGACTTTCTCCTCTTTACACCAGTAACCATCCCTTTCGGATTGCACATAGCGACACCATGGTCTTCAGAACCTAAGACTCTGGTTCTAAAATTTTAATCTTTCAGAGTCTAAATAAAATCTCCCAGATTGCCTCCCTCCCCTTATTGTGATACTGAAACATCTTCATCTTCCTCTCAGCCCTGGCTTAGTGCCCTTAGGGAGACCAGACCCTTGGTGAGGGGGAGTGTGCCCAGGCAACCCCCCACCCCAGGCTTCTGCTCCTCCCCACACTGTGCCAAGGTCTCCCCACACTGGTATTGTTTTTGCCACACACACCCCCATCTCTTCTGGTGGCTGTCTGCTTCCCAGTTGTCCCAGTGGACACTGGGTTTCGTCCCCATACCAGCCTCCTCCTTGCCAGTCCTCTTCCTGACTGGTGCCCTCACCCAACCTTCCACCCTGACCTTGACTCCTTCAATGTTACCATCTTCCTAACCTGCTCAGGCTGAGCTCCTCTTAGCCTCTCTGCCCGGGCCTCCCACTGTTCCTTAATTAGCTGGTCCTCTTCCACGAATTCCTCTTTTCCTTGGTCCCATCACTCTGGAAATAGCCCACAGCATCTGGCAGAGAGGCGGCATCATCCAATTCCCACTTAACAATCTGTATTTTTCCATTTTGCAGAAGTTTCAGTGAAATATCAAGTATCAGCCGTTTGAGGGCCTATTAAACAAGCTGATCTGTGTGTATTTTGTAATCTACCTTAGCAGGGGAATATTCACGTCCTCCTTTTCTTAATGTTTGCAGAGTTTCCATCTTTGGCCAGAACTGATGTGTGGCCACCAGCTGTCACCCCCACACCCCCTCCTCTGGGGGACTCTTCAAAGCCCACTGATTCCTCTCAGGGAGATGTGTTTCCTGGGAAGTTTGGATCCTCAGATCACGTGGAGACAATACTTGAGATGCAGCAAGTAAGCACACAGTTCCCTGTTTATGAAGAAAAGGGTCATTCTCAGAGTTCACAGTTTCTCCCAGAACAAAAAACAGCTTCTCTGCTGCCTGGAAATGTGACCACACTCCCCACTACCATGGCTACTGCTGCTCCACACACCCCCTCTGCCACTTCTGAGCCTGCAGCTCTCCCCTCCACCAATGCTTCAGTGATACCTTCTGTGATTCAACCACAGGTGGCCAGCACATCTCCACTTGTCACAACAGTCACCACCCAGCCATCCACTGCCCTCATTTCCACACTTTTGCGACACGCAATGGTTACAACCCAGATTAGTGTGACAACAACAGCAGTTCCAACTACCACCTTCCAGGGGCCTACAGACTCGAAAAGCCCCCCAGAATCGGTGCCCTTGACAGAAACCTCCAGTCTCCCGGTGAGCGCAGGGAATGCCCCTGAGGCTGCTTCTCCTCCTTTGTCAAATGTATCAAATGGAGCTCCTTCTGCTGTGAAGAAAACTGCTTCCAGGGAAGATGGGGATGTTCTCAGAGGTTCCTTGCGGAGCAGCATTCTGGAAGGTCAGTTTGGCCTTCCTCTGGAGAAGTGGCTTCTCATTGGGAGCCTGCTATTCGGGGTTCTCTTCCTGGCCATAGGTCTGGCCCTCTTGGGCAGAATGCTCCTAGAATCCCTCCGCAGGAAGCGCTATTCCAGACTTGATTATCTGATCAATGGGATCTACGTTGATATCTAGGGGTAAAACAAGGACTCAGCTCATTTAGAACTAGCAGCCCAAACACAGTGAATTTCTGCTGACCTCCATTCTCAGCAGGGCTGTTGAAGTATTTTGAAGACAGACAAGTACCCCTTCCCTCTCCCCTTTTTTTGAGGAGGTGGAGGAAGAGGAAGCAAATTAGTTAATTTGAATCATCTGCTGAAAGCAAAACTCTCCTAAAGTAATAAAGTACAATTGCCATATAAATTGGAAAATGAGTGGCTCTTTGAAAAATAAGGGGGGGGGGGGGGCTAGGGTTTCCAGATTTAAGTTCCTTGATATTTCTGGTTCCAGATAGAATCAACTGTTTATGATATGAATTCTAATGAATTTACTTTCCTTTTTATATGAATTCCAACAAAACTTCTTCCAGATGTATTTCCTTCCAATTAAACGTTTGAATAAATCTTTTGTTACTCAATAATGTTCTTAACGGGCATGTCCTGCTGGACAAGTTTCATTTTATTCCCACCAGCAAAATGATTAAGTGATGAAAATATGTGTCCCAAGTTAAAATGACAGCCTCCTCCTCTTCCCGTCACTGAGTGAAGAGGTTCCTTTGGGAGAATTTTAACTGAATCTCAGGCCTACATGAGGACGATAAGTCAGTTCTGATATACAGCCAAATCGCCTTTGGGTTGGTTCTAGTTAACTATTTTTTTTTTTTGTCTTAAAAAAAAGGAATATAGGCATTTCCTAAACTTTGCTAAATTTAAAATGTAACAGTGTCATTTATAAATCCTTAACTTACTCAACAGTTGATATTAGCTTTATTTGGAATAACATAGGAAATATTATATAGCACCTATAGTATGAAATTAGTATGTGGTAACTTGTTGATTACTTATTGAAATTCCTGAGAAATGCTTTTAATAAAGAGAGTTTGCCAGACAAGCTACCTTGGGATAATGCCGGGGAGGCTGCCATTGATTTGACACCTCACCTCTCTGGACCTCAATTTGCTTATCTACACAACAAGAAGTTGGGTGTCTGCCTTAATCCCCAGGGTTCTTAAAGGTAAAAATTGAGGGCCTCCCTGGTGGTGCAAGGGGTTAAGCACAGCACTATGAAGCAGGCCACAGCCTCTGCAGCACGAGTTCGATCCCCGGCCGCAGGCCAGGGAGCTACCCACATGGTGCAGCAGACCTCTCCTGACTCACCCGCTGCTCCCCTCAGCAGTGTACTTCGATCAATCTGCCTGTTCTGTTGCCCACTCTGTCTCTGGTGAATCCTCTCACCCCCCTGCACCTCTGGGCTATACCCCCAGCTCTTATATGCATAAATAAATAAATCTTAAAAAAACAAAAGTAAAAATTGAAATTCACATGAGCACTTTATACAGTGAGCGCTAGAGGGCAGTAGCTGGCTAGTAAGTATGGCAGGGAGGACAGATGTAGAAAGGATAGAAATAGGCTTTTCTCTTTCCTCCTCACTTTCTTCTCCTAGTCTCCTCTTGTGGAACCCCCTCCTCCTTCCCCCCAGTTTAGACTAAGCTCATAAAACTCATTAAGAGGAAAGTTCAACTATTGAAAATACAACTTTTCATATATTTTCCAACTTAACAGCATGACACAAATCTCCAAGGGGGTTACATAAGCTTTAAGTAGGTTGAATAAATACAACTTTGAATCAATTTAATTTAACAAGTATTTATTGAATATTCACGGAGGCCAGAATCAGATTAGTAAGCAAATCCTCTTGGTTAATGGAGCCGGAGAGTGGAAACACAGCTTTCTGTGGGTGCTTATGTTACGGAGCAGCCCTGATATAAAACGGGTTGCCCAGCTGTGGGTCCTCACCCGCGCGATTAAAAGGGACTTATTAATACTCCACTACAGGCACACACAAAAGGTTAATAAAAGGTGTATTTACAAGGGAAAGGGAAATGAGGAAATGTACAACTCAGGGAGAAAATAGGGAAATAAAGTCTTTAATGTGTCCTACTCAATCAGCCAACCTGGAAATCCAAAGGCACTCTCAGAGCTGCGAGCTGGCGGATAGCCAAAAAAGGGAACCCCCACAACCAAAGCCCATGTGTCTGGTATTATACCAAACCTGGCTGCTTAACCCCACCCTCAGGTTCCAGCAACCTTCCCTTTGGTGGTGATGGGATTTGTCTCTCCCAATGTCTTTTGGCTTTGGTCTGGGGTGGGGGTGGAGTCCACAAAGCCTGTATGGATTTAGCTCAGGACATCCTTTTCCCCCTAACACTTATACAAGCTTCTCCCTGCTTCCCCTATAGCTCTGTCTACCTGCTTACAGTCTGTGTGTGTGTAGAGGCTGGACAGGACACGGGCCAGGTTTTCTAATATCCAGCAGACCAGGTAAAGGAGTAGTCAGAGTCCTCAGTGGTTTTTGCAGGTCTTTTATTGGGGTTCACCAGGCATACGGCAGGCAGGGGTGCTGGGGGGCTGGAGGGCTGGCAGGCCTCCCAGCCCCCAGCAAGTCTTCACTCTATCTGGGCTCTCTGGCCTTCTCTGCTTCTCTTTCGGCTTCTTTTGGCTTCTGCTGCTGCTGGCGTCCCCGTGACACCGCCCTTAAAAGCCCAGTCTCAGCCCAGGTGAATCCCATCTACCTATGCCCACACCCTATTCCAGGTGCCCGCCATCAGGCATGCATTCAGGACCGCAAATCCGTCATCTCTCCTGATGGCGGGAGGGCAGAAAAACCTGACATTTTCTTTACCCTACAGTGTAATAGAGAAACATGTTAGGAGCCCAGATGGGCGGCCAAGTTCAGACCAGAGATGCTGTAGGTCCACACAGCCGGTGACCGTGGACATAGACTATAGTGGACAGCTGGGCGAAAGAAGTATTCTCACAGCTCTCTCTGCTTATTACCCCACTGGCGGGGGATTGGGACCAGGAAGAAGCAGGCATTTGCTTCCATCTAACTAATTTAACAGTGACTGACCTGGCCAACCTTTTAAACAAGGTGAATTGAATTATGAGCCCCCTGGTTTGTGGGATGCGAAGGTGATAGTTAAGAATGAATGAAATCACTAGGAAGATACCCGCAGCTCCCAATAGCCTTTCCTCATATTCCACCAATGAGATATTCACTTGGTTAACTACGCCTAGTATGTTCTTTCTCAATGGTCCTGGTGTAAGGGAGCATCCTTCCAACTTTTGGGTTCGAAACTGCCCAGTCCTACTTTTGTCTCATTTGTTAGAGGTTGGAAGTATCAGATTCTTTGCTGGCTCTTCTTCTTTTTTAAAAAGATTTATTTTTATTTTTATGCATACAAGAGCTGGCGTACAGGCCAGAGGTGTTGTGGGGGTGAAAGGATTCACCAGAGACAGTGGGAAACATAACAGGCAGACTGAAATACACTGCTGAGGGGAGCAGCAGGTGAGTCAGGAGAGGCCTGCTGCACCATGTGGGTTCCTCCCTGGCGGGGGATTGAACTGGCGCTTGCAGTGGCTGCGGTTAGCTTCATAAGTTGCATCTCCCTTGTGCCACCAGGGAGGCCCGTACCATGTGGGTTTCTCACTGGCCGGAGAGGATAGAACCTATGCTGCAGAGGCTGCGGACAGCTTCACAGCGCCGCTCTAAACCGCCTGCACCACCAGGGGAGGCCCTCTTCTTTTTTTTTTTTTTAAGATTTATTTATGCATACAAGAGCTGGGATGCAGACCAGAGTTGTGTGGGGGGTGAGAAGATTCACCAGAGACAGAGTGGGGAGCAGAACAGGTGGATTGACTGAAATACACTGCTGAGGGGAGCAGCAGGGAGACAGGAGAAGTCTGCTGTGCCATGTAGGTCAGCTCTCTGAGGAGGGATCAAACTCTTGCCGCAGTGGCTGGCGATAGCTTGATAGCACTGAGACTTAACCCCTGCGCCACCAGGAGGCCTGGTAACAGCTTTTAAATGGTGGTTATTTAAATGGTGTTCAGGGAAACAGAGACATCAGTGGTCACATTTTGGGGTAGACTGCACCCACTTTCTCAGCCACGGACTGACTGCCAGTCATCTTCTTAGGTCACTGACCACAGGGGCCAAGACCTGGGGCACACTGAACTGGAGGCCCCATCCTATTTCTGTGTTTCTATTGAGCAACTTCAGTGTTAGCCTCATTCTCTCCCTTTTCCTTTACATCCAGTGTTTACCAAGTATTGTCAATTCTCTTTCAAAAATGCTTCTCAAAGTCGCCCCTTCCACAGCTACCTCCAGTTTGGTCTCCCTAACTAGTTCCTCCTTACTCTACTCCCAAGTTATATACCCTCTCTATACGACCGCTAGCTCCAGGTACCTTAGAAGCACAACACACATAGTTCGTGGTACACTGTACCTCGGTGCCTCCTTAATTGAGCATAGTGTAACAAGGATCCCCAGTCTCTGGCTCAACCTAACAACTGTCCTCCCATCTGCCGCCCTCCCACAAAACCCCCAGCTACAACTACTCAACCTGTCTCGCTCTTTCTCAAACATACTAGACACTTTCCCTTCTTCACTGGGCCACTTTCCACTCCTTCAGACAGCATAACCATCACCCACACAGTCTGCTCAGATCCCCCCAGTTTCTATCACATTCTTGACTCATACCATTAGCAAGAATCTTCTATGGCATCTTCTAAGGCATCAGCTTACATATCCCACCACTAGACTATGGTATATTATTGACCAGTGTTCCTCCCCAGCTTAATAGTTTCTCTGGTGCACAGTACACACTCAATAAATGACCAAGAGTGAATTTTTTTTAAAGATTTATTTATTTTTATACAAGAGCTGGGGTACAGGCCAGAGGCACGGGAGAGTGAGAGGATTCACCAGAGACACAGTGGGGAGCAGAATAGGCAGACTGACAAAATACACTGCTGAGGAGAGCAGCGGGCAAGGCAGGAGAGGTCTGCCGCACCATGTGGGTATCTCCCTGGCCAGCCGTGAATCGAACCGGCACTGCAAAGTCTGTGGACAGCTTCACAGCACTGCGCTCAACCCGCTGCGCCACCCGGGAGGCCCCCAGGAGTGAATTTTAAAACCTGTCTGTTGAAGTTCAGTCCTTTTGGTGATGGGCAGTAATGATGACGCAGGCAACAGCTTCTGTATCATGAAGAAAAAAATCCAATCAAGACCCTATGTCTATGCATTTTTAGTAGAATGGATCCAATCCCCATGTATGCTTACTTTAATGAAGAGCCTGTGCGTAGGAAGCAGGAGAAAGCATTTTGATTTTGTGTCTTTCGTAAGAGTTGAGGCAGTATGTTTCCCTGCCTACAGAGGGTGAATGGACAGTATCTTGCTTATGCTGTTAATATTTTTGGTTAATTTTCACATTAAGGTACATTTTAGAAAACTTTTATAGTCAAACAAGACTCAGCATCTCAGTTATTTGTCCTCAACCGATGACGTTGGTTAGTAAAAAACAGTGAAAACTAAAGCCTAAAACCCAGAGCTCCAACCAACCGATTCAGCAATTTTATCCAGTGCTCTGTGCACTGGGAGAAGGGCAGGTGTCAGCTGAAATAATGCACCCGTCATACACCCCAGACACCAGGGAGAGGGTTCAACTTTGAGTTTCAGTCTCACATATTCCATCATTTATAATGTCTTTCATAAACATTTGTCTCTCATCTTCGCTCAATGAGAAACATCGATCTCCACTTAAATAACAGAAAACAAGGAATGTAGGTCTTGTGAACAACCAAATTCTGTTTCAATAATCATATACAAATATTGTCTTTATCTAGGGTGGACAGAATTACTTTTGTGACTATGTTTGTGT